AGATCTTGCAGGCACATTAAACACACACACACACACACACACACACACACACACACACACACACACACACACACACACACACACACACACACACACACGAGACGGAGAGCCGAGTAGCCAGGGGTGGAGGGTGAGGGGGGAGTGTAGGTGGCAGTGACGTGTGTGTGTGTGCATGTTAGCGGCGGACAATAAACTGGATTTCACCATTAGAGAACATTTACACGAGCGTGACCGCCGCTACTTACAAGCAAGTCAACAAATAATTACCAGAGACTGTTTTAAGCAGATTCCCTTCCTTCGTCTGTGACCGAAGTTGATGGCCAGAAGTCTTCGGGTTTTATCTATGAACATCAGCAATGTTCATTTTTGCTACCTCTCAATGTACGACAGGACTGGAGTAGGCAAACTTAAATTCCTGATATTTTATGAGTAGGCCTAATTAACTGATAAATGCTACATCATAGAGGATGAGGCCTACCTAAATTAATGTTGCTGTCGTGCTTAGATTAGTGTGCAAATGGCCATTCCTGATCTTCATGGAGAAGGTCTAAAAATTAATATATATATATTTATATATATATATATATATATATATATATATATATATATATATATATATATATATATATATATATATATAATATATATATACTATATATATATTATATATATTTTTCTTATAAATATATATATATATATATATATATATATATATATATAATTATATATATATATATATATATATATATATAAAATACGACCTGCCAAGTCATTTAACAACCAGGTACCCATTTTTCTGTTGGGTAAACAGAGGCTACTGGTAAGGATTGGCGCCCAGTAAATCCTCCCCCGGCCAGGATACGAACCCAGGCCAGAGCGCTCGCGAAACGCCAGGCGAGAGTTAGGCAAGTTAGAACCTAGGCATATGACCAGTGCTGACTCTCATTGGCCAAGAGGTGTTGGTACATTTGGTAAATGTCCATTGCTGTCGTTCATATTTGTTCAATTTTGAACGCTTCTGACTTACATGGAAGTGTAAGACTGAATGTTGAGACGCGAGGCTGTCATCAGACGACCTTGGCTGTGTGTCCTAATTACCAAGGAAGCAATTCAACGTTTCTGGGTCTGGAGTGATTATAGGAATTATTAATTTTAGTAATTGCGAATTATTGACGAGTGTAATTAGCCAAGTAGAGGATCATTAGCGAGGGGGACTGAGCTGAGAGACTCGAGACCTATTTCTAGGAACACTTTGATTCATTGTTGATGGGCTGAGTGTTCGTTGTTACAAGTGGCTCTCAGTTAAACAAAAAAGTCGAACTGAGAAGGTCAGTGTGCGGGTGTGTGTAGCCAAGTGTGTCAGTGTTCTTGTTTGTGTCTGAGGCCACACGAGAGGCAGAGCTGCTGCTGATGCTGTTGTTGTTGTGCTGCTGATGCTGTTGTTGTGCTGCTGATGCTGTTGTTGTGCTGCTGATGCTGTTGTTGTGCTGCTGATGCTGTTGTTGTTGTGCTGCTGATGCTGTTGTTGTGCTGTGATGCTGTTGTTGTTGTGCTGTGATGCTGTTGTTGTGCTGTGATGCTGTTGTTGTTGTGCTGTGATGCTGTTGTTGTTGTGCTGTGATGCTGTTGTTGTTGTGCTGTGATGCTGTTGTTGTTGTGCTGTGATGCTGTTGTTGTTGTGCTGTGATGCTGTTGTTGTTGTGCTGCTGATGTTGTTGTTGTGCTGTGATGCTGTTGTTGTGCTGTGATGCTGTTGTTGTTGTGCTGTGATGCTGTTGTTGTGCTGCTGATGCTGTTGTTGTTGTGCTGTGATGCTGTTGTTGTGCTGTGATGCTGTTGTTGTGCTGTGATGCTGTTGTTGTGCTGTGATGCTGTTGTTGTGCTGCTGATGCTGTTGTTGTGCTGCTGATGCTGTTGTTGTGCTGTGATGCTGTATTGTGATTGGTCTTCCCCCGTCTCTCTCTCTCTCTCTCTCTCTCTCTCTCTCTCTCTCTCTCTCTCTCTCTCTCTCTCTCTCTCTCTCTCTCTCTCTCTCTCTCTCTCTCTCTCTCTCTCTAGATTATATTTAATGTTCATCTTCCTCTTGATATTGTCTTATTCCCCGTCCCTGCGACCGTCTCATTCTATCCTCACCTAATACGTAATTCCGAGGGCGACGTGCCTTGAATCGTCTGTTCCGTCCCTGTGCCCGGACCATCTCGTCTTTCTCCTACCTCGCACTACTTTTACGCTGTCACCTTCCTTTCTCAAAACCATTCCACTGCTCCCCTTTCCACATATCCACTCCACTCTCCCCTTCCATTGGATTTTCAACACATTTCTGCCCTGAACTCCCATCTATTAGACCCTTCAACCCCCTTCTGCTGCCTGATCTGTAATCCCTCTTTAATCCAAGTCGCTTCCATTCCATTTCCGTCCTACTCCCCCTTCTTTTTACCATCGTGTTGTTTCTGAATGCACAAAAAAAATTAGCTGCCCCCCACCCCTATTCCCACCTAACCCCCACCCTCTCTTCCCACATACCCCCCACCCCTCTTCCCCCCTGCCCCCCCCCCTCTTCCCTCCTGCCCCCACCCTTCTTCTCACCTGTCCCCTCACCCCTCTTTCCTACCCTCCCCCAACACCTCCATTAAGCTTTGGAGAGTAATTTGGCGCGCCCTTCTTAAGCGAGTGAGGGTTCTTCGAGAGGGAAAGGGGGGGGGGCTTGGAGGAATGGTAGGTTAAGGGAGGTCGAGAGTGGGAGAGAAGGATAAGGGAGGGGAAGCTGAGGGAGGGAGGGAGGGAGGGTTGAAGGAGAGGGGGGGGGGTTAAGAGTGTGAGGGGTGGTTGATGGGGGGAAGGAGGGGGGTCCTGTGCTCCGACCAGCTGTGTGTAGTTCCCTCTGATCCTCTCATTTATTTGAGTGGCATATTTATGTGCGGTGAGTCTGTTTATATTCACCAGAGTGTAGGGGTGAGTGTTTTATTCACCACAGTGTAGGGGTGAGTGTTTTATTCACCACAGTGTAGGGGGTGAGTGTTTATATTCACCACAGTGTAGGGGTGAGTGTTTATATTCACCACAGTGTAGGGTTGAGTGTTTTATTCACCACAGTGTAGGGGTGAGTGTTTATATTCACCACAGTGTAGGGGTGAGTGTTTTATTCACCACAGTGTAGGGGTGAGTGTTTATATTCACCACAGTGTAGGGGTGAGTGTTTATATTCACCACAGTATAGGGGTGAGTGTTTATATTCACCACAGTGTAGGGGGTGAGTGTTTATATTCACAACAGTGTAGGGGTGAGTGTTTATATTCGCCAGACATAAGGTGCCTTACCTTACAGTTACTTTGGAATGGTTTCGAAGATCAACGTCCCTGCGGTCAGGCCTCTTGGTTGATGGTTTGGTCAACCAGGTTGTTTGCTGGACGCGGCTGCTCACAGCCTGACGTATGAATCACAGCCTGGTTGATCAGGTAGCCTTTGACGTGTTTATCGAGTTATCTTTTGAACACCGTGAGAAGTCGGCCACTTATGCCTCTTATGGGAAAAATATCGTGTTGAAAAATCTCGGGCTCTTGATGTTAATGGAGTTCTCCTTCAGTGTATCTGTTGCACCGTTGCTTTTCAACGTGTGAACCTGTTAACATAACATTAACAACGTGTGAACCTGTATAGGTGAAAGGCTCACCTATACACCATAGTGTATAGGTGAGCCTGTCAACATCCACTAGACAATGTATGCAAGTCCCAGCTGTGTCTGGGTACAAGTGACAGGATGAACAACCCAGCGGGTTTTCTTCCTATTGGAGAGTGTTGTACATGCTGCTATGGCGGTGGGTCCACTCACAAGATGAGTGGCGCTGTCCAATAAACTCGCCCCTCGGGGCAAAATTTAAAATTTAAAATGTATGGTTCCCTCTCAACATCCACCAGACAATGTATAGGTAATTCTTTTCATACAATACCTACCCTCTCCCCATATCATCCCCCTTCCTAAAAAAAAAAAAAGCTGTTTAATTTGTATTTGTATTTTAATTATTTATCTCATTCACATATTTACTGTCATTTAGTTTATTTATGAATTATGAAAGCAAAAAAATGAATCTCTAATTACTACACAACCTCTGTATAATTAACTCTGACACGGAAACAATTATGCAAATTAATAAATATCTGCTCTAATGCAGCGGATGAAGGTATTAATTCATGTGATAAATATGTGAGTACACATGTCCGTGGCTGCACGAGGCACAGCTCCCTCGAGCGATGAAGAGCGTTTCATTTATGAAAAAAAAATACGAAAACTGGTGATGTGGTTGGGCGGTCCGTCAGCAGAGGGCGCCCCGGTGATGTATTGTGGGACAGCAAAGAGCCACCACTACTTGTCCGGGCTCACCATAGCCCGTGTTACTTAGAACTTTTTGTTCCAGGTAGCGAATCTTTAACAACATACTTGTCTTGGGCCGCCTTGTATGTGTGGTGGAGTCTGTTCCCTGTTAACCAATCTTTACCGTGATCGTTTATTGATGTGGTTACTAATGGAAGTGGTCACTAACGGAAGTGGTCACTAACGGAAGTGGTCACTAACGGAAGTGGTCACTAACGGAAGTGGTCACTAACGGAAGTGGTCACTAATAGAAGTGGTCACTAATGGAAGTGGTCGCTTATCGAGGTTCGTAAGATATTGTAGTGGTCCTATTGTGTAAGCCATTCCGTGGTTTGGTGTTGAACTTAAAAAAACTTTATATATATATATATATATATATATATATATATATATATATATATATATATATATATATATATATATATATATATAAAATTTATTCAGGTTTGCTACTAGAGAAACAGTCTAGTTGTATGATTAAAATGCTATGCCACTGGGAGCTGTTCAGACGCCCTTTTGTGAAGATTGTATTAAATATAGTGCTTAATTATCACATTTATTTGGGTGACGTCTTGAGCAGCGTCCGAATTACATTACATGTATTACAGCTGCTACATTTTCTCCCCTTCAGATGGTGAATGTCGGCGGCATCTCCCGCCAGAGAGGGTGCTGGCACTGGTGGACGGCAGGAACATGGTTCCTTCTCCTGACGGCGGCTCCCACGGAAGGGGAGCAGAAATTTGCTAACCAGCCCTCGCCCCAGACCGCTGTGATCGGGTCAACTGTGGTTCTACCGTGCCGCATCATCAACAAGGTCGGGGTGCTGCAGTGGACAAGAGACGACTTCGGTTTGGGCAACGAGAGGGAACTGTACGCCTTCAAGCGGTACACCATGATTGGCTCCGACGAGGAAGGTGAGGAGACTGCTTGCTCTTGGAGATCTTGCTATCACCCTCTTATATCCCACTCTTTTCTTCCCACACTTTATGTATATATACAAGAGTTCTTACATTCTTGCACAGCCACTAGTACGCGTAGCGTTTCGGGTTCTTACTTTTTAAGCATTAGAAAATACACAAAAAAATACAAACGTGCACTCTCACATACACGTGCAGTAACCTTCATAATCACACACACACACACACACACACACACACACACACACACACACACACACACACACACACACACACACACACACACACACACACATACGCACTCAGGTGGAAACTGAGTGCCCAAATGAGCCACAGAGATATTACAAAGAACTTTTTTAGTGTCAGAGTGGTTGACAAATGGAATGCATTAGGAAGTAATGTGGTGGAGGCTGACTCCATACACAGTTTCAAGTGTAGATATAATAGAGCCCAATAGGCTCAGGAACCTGTACACCTGTTGATTGACGGTTGAGAGGCGGGACCAAAGAGCCAGAGCTCAACCCCCGCAAGCACAACTAGGTGAGTACAGGAGCGCACTCACGCAGCGAAGGCCCCAAGGCCCAGACAGCCATTCGCCATATGAAAGAGACAGGATCATTGTGTAAACCCATTGCGAAGGATATGAAATCTTCACAGTAAAATAGTGAACAAGAAGTCTGCAGGTACCACAGAAGTACAGGCTGTTGTCGATAACTATTTCTTGCATGATACTAAGAGACCAATCAGGAAAAGCCCTTAGAACATTACAATAAGTAGACTCTCAATACACACACTCATAGATTTCGAAACTGATCATGGCTGATGAGCCTTTGGGAGTTTCATAGCAAGCTAACACTGATAAAACGTGATTTTCCTTTACTGAAAAAAGCGTGACCTATGATCAAGACGTTAATACATAAACCTGAGAATTCCACTGGAGCAAATAAAGCAGACCAATGGCTGGAAAGGTGGAGCTGAAGAGCTGTGCTTAAGCCTTGCAAGAACATTTAGCAGAGTAAACAGAGATCGAGAAAAATGCCAGAAAAATAGAAGGCCAAGGGTTACGATGAAGAATGAAATAAATAGCTGCTTTCAACATGGGCCTTAGGACCCATTCTTTTCCTGGAACATGTAATTGACCAACTTGGAGGGATGATGCAAAACTAGTAATAAAAATGCGAACAGAAGAGAACTGAAAGATACTACAGGAACACTTAGACAAGCTACGCGAGTGGCTCAGAAAATGGCTGCTACAGTTTAACGAAAGCAAGATAAAACCAATGAAGATTCGAGCTGGAAAAACGAAACTTAAAGGCAATTTACTGCGTTTTACAAGAGCAAGTTCCAAGTATCCAATAAAGTGAAGGGTCTGGCGGCAGACATCCAAACCTACCCCCTCAGAGCCCATATTTATCAGATAACACCAGCTCTACATGCAGGACGGCAAATAACCTGCCTTTAGATCCAGGATGAAGATCGCCTCCGGACTAGTTCAGCGCTGAGAGACATACGCTCTCAGGAAAAGCAGCAGGAACAATATCTCGTGACGCAGAAACAGTGCATTACCAGACGAGACCTGGTTTTATACCCATCACAATAATGTTGTGTGTACACGGGCCGAACAAGAACAAGGTGGTTCAACAGGAAGGGATGAGGATGAGGGTACACGGAATATTCAGACGTATCAGGGATATTAGAAAAGGAAGAAGTAGTTGAGGATGAATGAATTTAAAAATAGAGAGCCTATAATAAAGACCAATTTAGTCATCGGTCAGAGTTAAGACGCGGACCCAGGAACTGAAGCTCGTGCCCAGCAAACACTAATAGGTAGTTTATGACTGACATAAAATAAACATAATCAACAAGGACAGGTTGTCTGGCACTGGAAGGTCACAGGTACGAGGGACTAAGTTAATGAACAAAATGAGCCACAAAGATACTAGAAAGAACGTCTAGTGTCAAAATGTACCGTAGAAGAGGTAGATTCCAGAAAAATTCGAATGTGGATTTATAAGACCTTTTACACCCCGTCGTTTAAAGATTGGGGAACAGCACCTAAGATCCTAAGTTCAACCACTGGAAGCGCAGCTAGGGGAATATTGTACGCACAAACATAATTCAAGTCGCAAAGAACATAATCCCGATGGTTTAAGACCACAACAAGAGGATTTACCTGCTTCTAAGACTTTTCGAGGAGATATCTAATGTATTATGCCATTCTAAACAGCGTTACACATCCCAGCTGAACAATTCACAGGCGGAATGATAGCTGTTGCAGCCTTAATGTGCACTAAAATTTTCCCACAACAGCCAATAGCAGTAATGGGCCATTGAAATTCAGAGGAGGCTAATGTAAAGAGGCGCGCACAGGTCCCAGCGCTGTATACACTCAGCTGCACATATTTCACTCTGCACAATGCTCTCAGCTACATGCACAGCATATAATGTCCAGCTTCACATGATTCGCATAGTCTTCTGAGCTTAATAAGCAACATGACGTTTAAGACAATAATTTAAGTTATTAACACATTATCTTCACAAAACTCTCAACAGCGCAGGTAACAAATTCCACACACACACACACATAATCGGGGTCAAAGAGCTAGAGCTCGATCCTGCAGGCACAAATAGTTGAGTGCACACACATACACACACACTGAGGGATTTTCAAAAACAAATCCCTGCCTTGGAGAGCAACCTGAACACCCAGCAAAATTCCTACCTAACTCTACGTGATCAGCACTGAATCGTCCCAGTTAACACTCCTTTCAGAAGACATCAATCTTCCAGTCACCACTTTCAATAGATGTCAACGTGCTAGTAGAAGACGTCAGCCTTTCAGCCAATGCTTCTTTCAGAAGACGTCAACCTTTCAGTCAGTAATTTCTTTAGACTCGTTAGCCTTTCGGTCCGGAGTCTATAATCAATCATCAAATTAACATTCTCTTCATCATATCTTCGCGAGACCTCAGCCTTAGTCTCCATTGTCTCTCTGTAATGTGGAAAGCCTGATTACGCTCCTCCCTAGCCCTCTCCTCCTAAACTGCTTCTCGTGTTGCGGAGCCGTCGAGTAACTATCCCTCTCCCTTCCCTGCAGGTGACTTCAGCCTTCGCATAAGTCCCGTCACTCTGGAGGACGACTCCTACTTCCAGTGTCAGGTGACTGGCTGGAAGGATATCCCAGGTGTGAGGTCCCAGACGGCCAAGTTGACCGTGTATGTGCCCCCTGAGCCCCCGGAGATCACCCAGGGGCCCGTCGTCACCACCACCGCAGGGGCGGGCGTCCAGCTCACCTGTATTTCCAGAGGGGGAAAACCTGCAGCCGAGGTGAGTTACTCCTCAAGGGGCCCCCCGTACACCGTCGGGAAAATAGACCCATGGTGAGGATGGATAATTAGGGAGTGAATAGTTACTCTTAGATTTATTAAGAGACAACCTTCACATCGCTGTGTTCAGGTGAAACTGTGTGAAATGTATATAGTCTAAATCTCATCTCCCTTTTCCTTGGTTCTTTTCCTGTTTTTCTCCTTTTTGCTGACTTTCCATCCATCTCTTAGATCTTTTCCCTTTCTCCTCTCTTTACATTTTTCTCTTCTTCCTTCATCATTTCTGTTCCCTCTTATACTATGATCACCCGGACTCTTACTCTTCGTCCCCATCTCTTTCCTCTTACTAATCCTCTCCAGCCACTTTCTCTGATCCACTTTCCTCCCTCCTTCCCCCCTCTTACTGATCCTCTTCTGCGTCTCACCAGTCAGTACTTCTCTCTCACACACTGATTCCCTCTCCTCCCTCATTGATTCGTCTCCCTCCCTCCCTCATTGATACTCCCTCATTGATACACCCTCTTATTTATCCTCTTCATTATTCCCACAAGCTGATATTCTCCCACTTCCTCCGTGACTGACCGCTTCTCCTGGACTCTCCAGATCCAGTGGTTGGACGGGTCCGGGCGCGTGGTGACGGAAGGTGTGGAGTACTCCACGGAGGTGATGGCGGACAAGCACAGAAGGAACGCCCGCTCCACCCTCAGCTTCCTGGCGAAACGAGAGCACCACAACGCCGCCTTCACCTGCACCGCCTCCAACCCCGCTCTTCACCAGGCCTTCAGGACCCAGGTGAGTCTTGTGTGTCGTGCTGCGACCGGGTGTTCACGGCCTTTGTCTTTCTGTCTGTCTTCCCACGAAAATATTTGTCTTTCTCTGAAGAAATTGTCAATTACCCCTTACTAAGGCTGATATATATATATATATATATATATATATATATATATATATATATATATATATATATATATATATATATATATATATATATTAGTATATTTTGGTAGCAGTCTTTCCTGTAGACATATATTATTAAATATGACCGAAAAAGTAAGATTAATAATTCTAACACGAATTTTCTCAATCTTCCGTACATTATGCTTCACTGTTGGAGGTAAATCAAAAATCACTTCTCCAAAATTCATTTTTATTTCTAGTCTAGTTCTTCTTGTCTTTCTCTATAAATAAAATGAATTTTGGAGAAGTGATTTTTGATTTACCTCCAACAGTGAAGCATAATGTACGGAAGATTGAGAAAATTCGTGTTAGAATTATTAATCTTACTTTTTCGGTCATATTTAATAATATATATATATATATATATATATATATATATATATATATATATATATATATTATATATATATATATATATATATGTAGTATATATGTCTATAGTGTATAATGTAGTTTATAGAGTGTGCATAAAGAACTACTATCGAGTCTGTAGAACCGTCTGGTGGGGAAATTGTACGAATAACTGACTTGTCCATGGAACTAAATCAGTTGACAGAGGATCACTAATTAGAAAAGTAACACGAGGTATCAAAGAGTACTTAGAAAGGAGGGTGAGCGAGTCGGGACTAGCTTCAGGGTTAAACAATACCCCCTCACTGTCTCATTAAAGGTTAACTGACAAAGTGATGGCCAAACATTGGGACGACATTTATATTAATGGTATTGTGTTAACATAATATGTTTGGTATGTCAGGTGCGTCTTGAGGTGAGTTACCCGCCGGAGGTGACCATTACACATGACCAAGATGGCTACCGGGAGGGCCAGACCGCCACCCTCACCTGCTCAGCATCCGGCAACCCCTCCGTGCTCTCCTACAGGTGAGTTCCAACAGGTTGCCTTCTCTTGACCTCTCCTACAGGTGAGTCCCACCATGAGAGAGAGAGAGAGAGAGAGAGAGAGAGAGAGAGAGGCAGAGAATCACATCTCGCAAATATTTAGTCAGAGATATTTTAGAACATAAAGTACTGCTAATAGTGCATTTTGCGCAAATAAGTAAGTTCTCCTCAGCACATTACAAATATATTCTAGGATTTCCCCTTCAAGCACGTCAAATATTTAATCTTTTTTTTTACATGAGGGAAAAAAATATTTAAATTCCCCTTACGTCAAATTCAGCCGTCCATACTGTAATATGCAATCCCGAGCTGTGTGTACATTGTCTGTTCTCCGCCTGCCAGACAGTTGCTCCGTCCCACAGTCCCTGGGTATGAACAGGTCGGCAAATCCTACCAGCAAATCTGCTAACACCGAGGCTGGAGCCGCCTGTGTGTTCCTGAAAATTTCCTCGCCTCTTCAGCCTTCGTCCCTCACCTGATTATTCGCCGTCTCCTCCATCAGTTATTCTCTCTTTTCAATACCTTGCCAACAGCTCCTTCTGTCTTCTTTCCTCCCAAACCCCCCATTTGTACTTACCCGCCCTCTTTCACTCATCCTTCCTGTCTTTCTCCCTCTCTCCCCTCCTTCTCAACAGCTAAGAAGGTCTACCTACAAGTAGACCATATCTGAGTGCACACCTAGATTTTCCGGGAGGGTCAAACGTCAGCTCTTAAGCCCGGCTTTTTTAATTATTGATAGTTTAATTAATGTTCTCTCGAGTTCGAACCCACATAATTCAATAGAAGACGCAGGGAGGGTCTGCTTCGCTCTCACTGAGCACATATAAGCATCAGCACAAAGACCCTGCAACAGTGAGTGCAGGGAAAGGGGAAATGGGTTGCTTGAGGGGGGGATGGGTAGTTTGGGAGGATGAGTAGGATAGGAAATGGGTAAATTGGAGAGTTGAAGGTGGAGGGGAGAATAGGGAAAGGGAAAGGTTACCATGCACGAATGTTCTCCTGCGTCTCCCTCTATCAGTTATGTCTGGAATTGTTTCAGAGATTGTTATGGAAATTGGTGCGTTGATTGGTGTGGGCTGCACCCTCCAGATGCTTTCAGGAAGTTGCCACTTTAGCAGTAAGCAGGGCAAGGTGTGCTCCTTCACTCGTTTCAATGCTAGATTTGTTCTAGTGTGTTCACATTAATATCCTGAATATATGTAATTTAACAGACAATTTCTTTTCATTCTAGGAGGCTGAAATATTTGAGAAATCTGTTCACTGTTGCAATATTTTTCCAAAACTCCATGAATTCATCCCATCCAGTTCTCCATCTTACCCTTCAGCCTACCACACCAGCTTACCTGTAATCCTCTTACTCCTAAGCTTACAACTAGATCTTAAACATAAGCCTATCAGCAGTTATTGCTCCTAAGCCTACCACAAGATCTTACCCCAAAACCTATCATTAGATCTTACCCCTCTCAGCCTGCCACTGCCCTCATTTTCTCCTATCAACTTCTTGATTCTCCTCATTTCCTCATTCAGCTTCATACAATCACTCAGCCTCTTACTCTTTCTCTCCTCATCCTGTCACCCTTCGCATTCTCTCCTGTCATCCTTCTCCTCCTCACTCCTGTTACCCCCCATCTCACCATGAAAACTCTCCTCCTCCTTTCCTTAAAATGTCACCACTTTACTTTCCTCCCTCTCAGATTCACAGACCACTCATTTCCCTTTTATCAGCCTCTTGTTCCCCTTCGTTCCTTCCCCTGTCTTTCACCCTCTTCAATCTCTCTCTCTCTCTCTCTCTCTCTCTCTCTCTCTCTCTCTCTCTCTCTCTCTCTCTCTCTCTCTCTCTCTCTCTCTCTCTCTCTCTCTCTCTCTCTCTCTCTCTCTCTCTCTCCAGCCTCCACCATTCCCAAGTCGTCCACAACCCCGTTAGGCAATGTTTCACCCTGAGGACCTGTTTTCAGATAGATGAACACTCGCTTAAATTAAACTTCAATTTCCTTTTTGTAGGTCATAAACTAACACCTAGACTTTTATTAGACTCAAAGTGAAGTATATCCCTCCCCCACAGATGGTACCGCAATGGCCAGCTGGTTCAGGACAACAACTCCACACAGCTGGTGGTGGGAGGCGTGACGAGGGACAGTAACCTGGAGGATATCACCTGTGAGGTCTCCAACGAGGTGGGCTCCTCCAAGAAGATCACCAGGCTCTCCATACACTGTGAGTACTTGTTCCATGATTCGCTTCAGTACTTATGCAATGTTCCTCTTGAGTATTCTATCCACGCCTCTCATAAATGATCTATCTACCCACGTCTCGAGAACTCTATCCACGCCTCTCATAAATGATCTATCTACCCACGTCTCGAGAACTCTATCCACGCCTCTCATAAATGATCTATCTACCCACGTCTCGAGAACTCTATCCACGCCTCTCTTGAGTACTCAATCTGCGACTCTTCCGAGTATTTGCTGCAAGATTTTCGTGAGTACTTGCCCAATGTACCTCTTATATTCTGCAGCAGTTTCATTCTACTGTTAATGATTTATCATGCAATCCCTCAGAGTACTCTGTTTTATTAACTACACCAAGGAACTTAGCAAGGGCTAAGCTGCCAGTTCTCAGTAAAGGGGCGTCGCACTCATTGATCAGGAATCACAACCCTTCTGAATGCTTACTTAACACCACTCTAGAGTACCTGCTTTACGCACCCTATGAGTACATACTCCACTTACCCCTTGAGTGCTATTTCCATTTCCAATAAAGTGCCTCTTGCGTATTCATTCTCAATCTCGATTTTTGTTTAAACCTTAACCATCTTGGCTGTTGGGAGAGTATATTAAAGGGTGAGCTAATCTGTCCACCTGTCTTTGCTTCCACACTTCCTTTTAATCCGTCCAACTTACACACTTCCGTCTAATCCCTCCACCTGTCTCTGCTTACTCACTTCAGTCTAATCCCTCCACCTGTTTTTCCTTAAGCTCTTCCCTCTAATACCTCCATCTGTCTTTGTTTACACACTTCCGTCTAATCTGTTCACCTGTCTCTACTCACAAACTTCCGTCTAGTTCGCCCCTCCTGAAGTTCATACAGATAGGTCGTGTCTTATTGATTCTCGTACATTTTGTGACATTTTATTATGCAGTTATATCTATTTGTGTATAATCCCAAGTTATTCATACAATGTGGATCGTATTTAGAGTTTATACTATTCATAGACTCCCACACTGATGGAGTAATTATCCACGAGATCGAGTCATCAGCCTGAGTCAGTTTTCATCTTAAATCCCTCCCTTTGAGTCCTGGCTCATCTCCATATGAAGCTCTCACAGCTTAAGGTTGATAATAACAATAATGATAAATAATAAAGTAATAATAGAGTAATGATAATAATAATGGGAACACCCTCTCACCTGAGGGAAGAACCGTATATTTGTCTTTTTGTTTTATTAAACGACCCGAGTTCATCTCACCAGGCCAAAACCCAATTATTAATTTTTCGTGCGTGCGTGTGTGTGTGTGTGTGTGTGTGTGTGTGTGTGTGTGTGTGTGTGTGTGTGTGTGTGTGTGTGTGTGTGTGTGTGTGTGTGTGTGTGTGTGTTCACCTATTTGTGCTTGCTGGGGTTGAGCTTTGGCTCATTGGTCCCGCCTCTCAATTGTCAATCAACTGGTGTACAGATTCCTGAGCTTCCTGGGTTCTATCATATGTACATTAGAAACTGTGTATGGAGTCAGCCTCCACCACATCACTGCCTAATGCATTCCATCTGTTAACAACTCTGACACTGAAAAAGTTCTTTCTAGAGTCCCTGTGGCTCATTTGGGTACTCAGTTTCAACCTGTGTCTCCTTGTTCGCGTACCACCAGTGTTAAACAGTTTATCCTTATCTGCCCTGTCAATTCCCTTGAGGATTTTGTAGGTAGTGATCATGTCTGTCCTTACTCATGTAACCCCGTTAGGTTACGTGAGTGTGTGTATTTGCGGGAGTGGAGGTTGACACAGCTCATGGGAATCATCTCCGAAAACAAAAATCTAAATTCTACTTTGTGTGATGAGCTGTTGATGTCTGTGTGAGCTGACACCACAGCAGGCACTGTTGATGTCTGTGTGAGCTGACACCACAGCAGGCACTGTTGATGTCTGTGTGAGCTGACACCACAGCAGGCACTGTTGATGTCTGTGTGAGCTGACACCACAGCAGGCACTGTTGATGTCTGTGTGAGCTGACACCACAGCAGGCACTGTTGATGTCTGTGTGAGCTGACACCACAGCAGGCACTGTTGATGTCTGTGTGAGCTGACACCACAGCAGGCACTGTTGATGTCTGCGTGAGCTGACACCACAGCAGGCACTGTTGATGTCTGCGTGAGCTGACACCACAGCAGGCACTGTTGATGTCTGTGTGAGCTGACACCACAGCAGGCACTGTTGATGTCTGCGTGAGCTGACACCACAGCAGGCACTGTTGATGTCTGCGTGAGCTGACACCACACTGTTGATGCAGGCACTGTTGATGTCTGCGTGAGCTGACACCACAGCAGGCACTGTTGATGTCTGCGTGAGCTGACACCACAGCAGGCACTGTTGATGTCTGTGTGAGCTGACACCACAGCAGGCACTGTTGATGTCTGCGTGAGCTGACACCACAGCAGGCACTGTTGATGTCTGCGTGAGCTGACACCACAGCAGGCACTGTTGATGTCTGCGTGAGCTGACACCACAGCAGGCACTGTTGATGTCTGCGTGAGCTGACACCACAGCAGGCACTGTTGATGTCTGCGTGAGCTGACACCACAGCAGGCACTGTTGATGTCTGTGTGAGCTGACACCACAGCAGGCACTGTTGATGTCTGCGTGAGCTGACACCACAGCAGGCACTGTTGATGTCTGCGTGAGCTGACACCACAGCAGGCACTGTTGATGTCTGCGTGAGCTGACACCACAGCAGGCACTGTTGATGTCTGCGTGAGCTGACACCACAGCAGGCACTGTTGATGTCTGTGTGAGCTGACACCACAGCAGGCACTGTTGATGTCTGCGTGAGCTGACACCACAGCAGACACTGTTGATGTCTGTGTGAGCTGACACCACAGCAGGCACTGTTGATGTCTGCGTGAGCTGACACCACAGCAGACACTGTTGATGTCTGCGTGAGCTGACAACACAGCAGGCACTGTTGATGTCTGCGTGAGCTGACAACACAGCAGGCACTGTTGATGTCTGCGTGAGCTGACACCACAGCAGACACTGTTGATGTCTGTGTGAGCTGACACCACAGCAGGCACTGTTGATGTCTGCGTGAGCTGACACCACAGCAGGCACTGTTGATGTCTGCGTGAGCTGACACCACAGCAGACACTGTTGATGTCTGTGTGAGCTGACACCACAGCAGGCACTGTTGATGTCTGCGTGAGCTGACACCACAGCAGACACTGTTGATGTCTGCGTGAGCTGACAACACAGCAGGCACTGTTGATGTCTGCGTGAGCTGACAACACAGCAGGCACTGTTGATGTCTGCGTGAGCTGACAACACAGCAGGCACTGTTGATGTCTGCGTGAGCTGACAACACAGCACGCACTGTTGATGTCTGCGTGAGCTGACAACACAGCACGCACTGTTGATGTCTGCGTGAGCTGACAACACAGCAGGCACTGTTGATGTCTGCGTGAGCTGACAACACAGCACGCACTGTTGATGTCTGCGTGAGCTGACAACACAGCAGGCACTGTTGATGTCTGCGTGAGCTGACACCACAGCAGACACTGTTGATGTCTGCGTGAGCTGACACGGTTGAAGGCAAGTTAGTAGTGGAGTAAGAGTATACGAAGGCACACATTAGCGAGAAACAGGAGGAAAAGAACAGGAACACTAAGGAGACCCGAGTGAAAGTTGGAATTAGTAGTTGTGTGTGGAAAGTTTGTAGGGTATGGAAGGTGTGTGGGGCATGGCAGGTGTGTGGGGCATGGGAGGTGTGTGAGCGTGTGGGAGAGATAGTCAGTGGAGGGAGAGGATGAAGATATCCAGGAAAATACTAATAAACGGTTTCCTAATCATGATGAATGAAGTTCAAAGTGAACAAAGCTAAGGGGGAATATCGGATCAAGTCAGGAACGTTAAGAGAGAGCTCAGAGACTGACGCCCCATAACGTGAAGGACGTGTCTGAGAGCAGCTCACACGAGCCCACAAATAAAAAAAGACCGAAGCTGCACAAAGACCGTGGCGTAGATAATGCAGGGATGTGATAGGAGTCAGCGTATCCCCGGCAAGTTGTCCCACAAAGACCTCAGCACTTACCGTAATGAAGGGGTCTAGGCAAAGGTTAACGAGAGCAACACTGGCGAGCCAGTGTGTAACGCGCCTCCCTCGTTCACACTCATCGGGGTCCTCGAACTCGACAGATCGTGGCAAGGTGTGTTTTGACCCATCCAAGATGGTAATTAATATGTATGGCGCAAAGCAGTAATAATTAGGGCACTAATAAGAAGAAAAACGATAAGAGTAATAAATAATAATGCATATATATATATATATATATATATATATATATATATATATATATATATATATATATATATATATATATATATATATATATATGTCGTACCTAATAGCCAGAACGCACTTCTCAGCCTACTATTCAAGGCCCGATTTGCCTAATAAGCCAAGTTTTCATGAATTAATGTTTTTTCGTCTACCTAACCTACCTAACCTAACCTAACCTAGCTTTTTTTGGCTACCTAACCTAACCTTACCTATAAATATAGGTTAGGTTAGGTTAGGTAGGGTTGGTTAGGTTCGGTCATATATCTACGTTAATTTTAACTCCAATAAAAAAAAATTGACCTCATACATAGAGAAAAGGGTTTGCTTTATCATTTCATAAGAAAAAATTATAGTAAATATATTAATTCAGGAAAACTTGGCTTATTAGGCAAATCGGGCCTTGAATAGTAGGCTGAGAAGTGAGTTCTGGCTACTAGGTACGACATATATATATATATATATATATATATATATATATATATATATATATATATATATATATATATATGACGTTCACATGAAAGTTTACAAAGAGTCGAATCAGAGCATTTTTATTCACTTTATATTTAAGATAACTTATATTTTACTTAAACATTCAATACGTGCGTTCGCATATTGAATTTTATTTTTGTTTTTAGTGAGATATGAGGTTATTTATCCTTCCTGTAACA